TTGATACAAAATAATCTGGGTTTGCTTTGAATATCACCCAGGTTGTAGGCCTGAAAGGTAAAATTACACTTGTTTCATCAGCAGTTAACTGGATTAGCATTTTCTTCAAACCTGTTTAATATTATGGTGAACATCTGTTGGTTGGTGTGCTTACAGACTGAAAATAATGGGAATTCTTAATGCTGTTGCCATTTCAAGTGGGAAATATTTTTTTGCAAGCCACTTAGACAAAAATTTACCAATTCTGATCTCTTCCATATTGGTTTGTTTCTAGCATTGAAGTAAAACTGAGACAAAAAATACAGCAAAACCCATAAGGCATTGCAAAATTAACTCCATCAATCACTGTGTAAATATTAATCCACCTGTTTAGTTTTTTGACATTTTAAAATAATTCATATAAATAATTCATTTTTTTTGTCTTTTACCCAGAAGCCGGTGATCACTTTATTTTTCAGATGGGATTATATGAGTCACTTCATCAATGATGTGATCGTATAACAGGAAATGGGAGGATGTGACGCAGTTCGGCTGACTCACCTCCTTTCTCTGAAGGATGAGCTCATGCGTCTCTCATCCTCTGCTTCTATCTGTTCACTCGGCCGTTTCTGCCGCCTCACTCATCTGAGCTACAGCCGTAGCACAGATCGCAGCACTAATGTCACCCACATGAGACGGGACAGGCTTCACTCAGACCCCTTAATGCATCCTGCAGGTCAACAATTTTTGAGCCATTCATGAGCCTCAGAAGCCGTTTTTATGTCCTCACATGGACAGGCCTTTAATTTCACTCAGGGGAAGCGAGATTCGCAGTTATTGTCTTACTGTTTTGTTTCAGCCCCTCTTGTGTGTCATCTCTGTCCACAGCTCTTTCTCTCCATCTCTCTACTCATCTAGCTGTTCGTAACCATGGAAACCAGCTAGCTTGCTCCCCTTCTGTCGCCATCAGTGAACCTCAGTCTGGTTGCCTCTGTATTCTTTTCTTTTTTCTTCTCTTTTTTTTTATACAATCAGTGGCGGTTCTGTCTTTTCAAAAAATACATATTGATGGATGTGGGATGCGTTCGTCACATTCAGGGGGAAACGATGCGTTTAGGGAGTGGTGGGCTCGCCTTGTCGGTGCTTTTAGCTTTGTAGGTGGGTGTGTTAATGTGTTTGTGCGCTGTGTTGTTGGAACACCAGGAGAAAAATGAAACATTTACCAACATCAACCCGTTCTCTTGATCTGCTTCTAAATGTGGATCTACATATGAGATAAAAACATTATATTTTTTTCTATTTTAAGATCAACGTAAAGCCACTTTTTTGTTCGGCGCTCTCCTCCGCCTTGAGATCCACTTTTTGCATCAGTTTCCTACATATTTAAACACTTTCCCAGACATGCTGCAACACCAAGGCCCTTCTTGTTACTACTTTTGCTTGCAAGCGGGCTGCAGGCAACCTCCTGCCAACCTTGAGCTGTAACGAGGTCTGCTCCTGTTGTCATGGGGATTCAGGTGGTGGTAAGAAGAAAGGGGTTTTAATGCTGCATGCTGCCCGAGAGGGCACGGGGGGCACAGGCTGGGCTGACAGATTGTGGCTCTTCATACTGGCACCGCGAAGCGTTGCCTCTCTGACAGCTTGTCGGGGATCTTCTGGCGTTAATGGTCTGTGGAAACATCGGAGGGCAAGAAGATGTTGGGTTGCGGAGGAAAAATTTTGCTTTGATGCCTTTTGAATTCATTGTCTCGCGTGCTCTCTCTCTTTTTATTTTGGGTTCAGAATTTTCAAGTTGACAAGAAATATAAAATAATTGATCAGAAGTTATGTAGCTTTTTATAAAACTGAATCAGGGTTTCCCCAGTGTTGTATTATAGACCTGGCGGCCCGCCATCTTTTACTAGTGCCACTGCCAGGCCAAACCTTTCTTGTGTACTTTTTTAGGAAAATAATGATAAAAAAAAAACCAACCAAAAAAAAAAAAAAACTTTTTTTTTTTTTTTTTTTTTTTTTACTTTTTTAAGCCGGATTGCAAGTGTCTCTGTTGCTCTGAGCGCTTCACTGGCGGAGCAGATTTATTCCTAAAAGATATGTTTATAGAAGATAGGATTTTAGTTTATGCATTTAAAGACAGACCAATCACACTGCTGGCGCCTCTGCGCGTTGCCTCTGCGCGTTGCCTTTCCACGCTGCAGTAGCTGGATTAAGTTTACCTCAGCGCGTATTCCGCACGTCTCCTTTCACTCAAACTGGACACAGGCTGAGCTGTATAGATATTTACATCAGCCCCCTGTGAGGAATTATGATTCTTTCTAGAGTTTTTGATCAAGGTAGGACTTTAAACACCGCTCTGGTTAGCTCTGGTTGCGCAGCTCTATGTGAGCTGCAGGAATAACTTGTAGTCGCGCTTTCACAGGTGTGTTGAGCGAGCAGTGAGAATGATTTATATTTGTGAACAAAGAATTTTGTGCAGCTTTTCCATCTCAACACTCTGCCAGCGCCCGGCTCTGCCTGCGCTGATAAAGTTTATCTATGTGTTCCCGGTTGGCCGGTGTATTAGTTAATGAAATGGTGCTAACCTGATCATGCAGGTTTAACCCGGTGAGGAGCTTTCACACTCTCCTGTCTGTAACGCATCACACTGATTTTATATTTTATTATTTTTAGTATTATTTTTCCAGTTACACAATGCATCAAACTGTATCAAATGCTTTGTCCACTTAGTCAGACAGAGTTAATGTGTGATCTGAGATCTGAGAAACTCGTCCCATAAACTCGACCAACCAGAATATTTTCTGTGACGCTTATTAAAAACTCAACAGACACGAAATGAAAGAGCTACTAAAGCCACATTAGCAGCATTGAGTTAAATCTCCCGTTTGTTGTGCATCTCTGCGTAGTGCAGCGGATTTAACTCATCATGCAGGGCCGGTCCAAGGCTGTATGAGGCCTTGAGCAGAATTTGATTTAGGGGCCCCTGACAATATTATCCTCTCAAGCAGTTCATTAAAGCGCTGCGTTAATTTTAGCATATTTCGTGTTTAGCTTTGACTTGTTGATGTTTCAGCTTGTTGGATAATTCATTGCAGTTCCAGTTAATTATGCACAGACAAAACTGACAGAGGAAGTATTTCTGCTGCTTTATAAACGTTGTGAAGTTTAATTACAGGTGTTTCTCACCAGTGTTTCAACCAGTAAGAAAAGCATTATAGGCTAGTTTATTTCTGTCCATTTTATGCATTCAAACACTAAAGGAATGTGATTAAAGTCTGATGTTGTACAGCAGTCAGATGCTTTAATGTGAAACAAACCATAAATGATTTTATACCTGCAGCTTTTAATCCAATTTATTCACACAGCAGCGGTTTTGGATGTCAAAGTGGGGCTGCTTTGTGAAAGGTAACTTTAGAAAATCTGACATCAGGAGCCGTCCTTATTGTAATTTTGGTTATTTTTGAACTAGGAAAATCCAAACTCTGGATGCAACATGAGCTGAACAAGCAAAACAAATCAGGTGACTGGACAGTCACCTGATTTGTCTGTTTGAGCTACAGCAGTTCATACAGACTCAGATTGACTCTGAAAAGCTTATTCAGGTGATGGTGGTCCAATAAATGTAAATCTAATATCTACATTTTAGTGTAAATCACATTGCAAATATCGCCATATTTCCTAAAGATGCGCTTCAGACACAAACACTTTTTTTCATCATTATTTTTATTTTTGCATCAAGCTAATGAACATATTACAGCTTCACCTAATAACTAAATAGGACATCTAAGTTCCTTTTTTCGTTAGAAACTTCTATTTATGGTTTTATTTTGAATATGATTAAAAATACATATTATGATCAAGATTTTTTTTAACCATCCCTACATTAACTGATTGTCTTTGATCTAATAATTTTAATAAAAACAGAAGGCATTACAATATAATTTTTAATATTACTATGTAAACTATGTCCTATCTTTTACATTGATAACATTTACATTAGTTTCTTCAAGGAAATGTACATGAACAACCTATGAACAATTTAACCTTCACCTTTCGGTTTGGCGATGTTAGTTGGTGGAGAAGCAGCACTATAAATAATTCCCTTTTCTGCACCCTCATGAGAAACTAATTAAATGGAGAATAAAACCTGACCTGTTGAGACTATGTGACTTAAGCCTCATTAATAACTCTTGGTAAATTGAACTGCTGCTAATTCTGCAGTCGTAACCCAACCCTGTGTGTATGCGTGTTGAATGCATGTGTGTGTGTTTTGGGTGGAAGCTCACGAGACTGAAAAAAAAAAAAAAAAAGGAAGAGTGAAGGCAGCTTCCCCTCTCCTGGCTTTCAGCCGTGTCTGCCGACTCTATTGTCTGCGCTGTCTGTCCATCTATCTTCACATTTTTGAATTTGCAGGCCTACCGCTTGGATCCCCGCCACCTTTTGTGTCTTCGAAGTGCTGCTTTTGTTTGTCTGCAAACCTGAGCCTGACGAGGAGAAGCACCAGCAGCCAGAAGCTTGCTGGGTTTGCAGGGATTATTGTGTCTGCCAGTGATTTTTGTCTGTTTCTTTCTCTGTGTGGGGTTGGCGATGGTGAGATGGAGACACTGGGTTTCATTTTCCACATAGATACACCACGGGGAGTTGTCCGTTATCCTTGTTTGCCCAGAGCAGTAGGAACTCATTACAGATACGTTCTGAATTTGTGGCAAACTGATAGAAATATATCCACAGCAGAGAGCATGAGAGGGTGTGTACATGACGCTACAGGCAGTGCCAGCTGCATTTATGCATGCAGAAGCATTTGGATTTCTTTTAGTGATCCAATCCTGTGTAGGGGGGGGAGAAAAAAAAACATGTTCAATTTGCATCTTTGTCTGACACCTTTTGCTGAACGTGCTCATTTTCTGTCTTTGTTTTACAGTTCTGAATGCGTCTCCCATTAACCATGTCGTTTCTCGTGGCACTTTAACCACTATCTAGTCTGCTAATCTGGAGAACTAATTATGGCTCCTCTTTGTCTCTTTCAGAAATCGAGCAATAGCCGATTATCTACGTTCCAATGGATACGAAGAGGCTTACTCCACTTTCAAGAAGGAAGCGGAATTAGATAATGTGAGTAGATTAAAAATGGACACACGCACACATCCGCCCTGCACCGACACCAATTTATACTAACAGTATGTCTTGATTCCCCATTTATTTCTCAATTTGGTCGACGTGTTCTCTAGTGTGACCAGGAGCACCTGCACCCAATTAGCCTGAGTTGTATGATGGAGGGCAGGGGGGCGAGGTGCAGCAGGATTTTAGTAACCAAGCTTTCATTCACCTGAAACTTATTGGGTTCTTCTTGCTACCAGACATGCACAGATCTGAATTTTCTGGTTCATTCCAGGTCTTTGGTTTGTGAATCTTTGACCATTTTAGCTGATCCCTATTTTTCTTTAGCACTGGAATATACAAAGATGTAAAAAAAAAATAAATAAATAAAGGAAAAAAATATCTTTGAACCTTTTTGCTTTACCTTCTTGTTGGTAACCATTATTGAGAGCAGAGATTAAATGACACCTTATGAGAGATCAACTGCTGTGAAACGATTCACATTTCATATTTTTTTTCTCATATTGTCTTCAGCTTGTTAATGAATAAAATGGTTAGTATTGCAAAAACAGCTTTTCCATGCTGTGTATATTCCACAAAAAGGCTAAAAGCTTGAAAGGATGAAAAGAAGCACATTTAATATTCTCCATCCAGCTTTCTTGTGAACTGCTGAAAGCCTTGCTCTCTCTCGCTTTCTTGCAGCCTGATTTCTTTGACTAACAAAAATACAATGAGATTAAATTAGTTTGAAAATTCTTGTAGTGATCTGTTTATTTTCTTTCATTCAAGAACATGATTAACATGAGAGTAAGCATATTCATATCCAAAGATATAAACATTTTATTAGAATTACAAGAGCATCTATTATCTTTGCCCTTTGCTCTCATTAAAATTTATAAAGATTGTTACTAGGATGATAGATATTTTAGCTTTAGAACATCATACAGGAGAAATACAGAGCTTTAACTAAAAGTATATTTTAGTAGCTGCTGTTCATTGCATGGCAATTATTTCCTATATATTTAGATCCTCTTTCAATCGTCGGCTCAGCCTCGTATTTTCAGCTTCATACAGCAGTCTTTCACCTTGCCTCCACGTGATGCTCTGCTGGTGTGTCTTTATCCGCTTCCCTCCCAGTCATTTTCCATGTGGCAGCTCTTTGGAAGCAGCCTGAATAATAGATGAATGGCACAGAGGGGATCATTGCACCCTGTTGGGTTGTAGCACTGAGCCACACACACCTTCACAGAGCAATGCCAAACAGCCAAGTGGTTTAGCCCCATATTCCCGATTCCTCATCATTAAGCTTTCTACAATATTTTAGTTTGGAGGGAAAATTTTTATCCACTTAAATGTCCTTCACCTTGTGGCTACTTAAGTTGCAGGTTGAGGCAGGGCTTATCTGTCTCTATAGCAGAAATAATTGATGGAAGTCATTCTCCATTTTTTATTTTTTTAATACGTCCCAGATGAAAGAAAATCCACATACCTGCATGCACAGGAAAACACACATATGTTCATCATGAATTGCCAACAGACTGGCAGACTGCACTGTCTGGCACTTGTGGTTCAGTTTGCATCTTTGTGTGTGTTAACAACCAGGCAGATGGCAGATGATTGAAGACTTGTCCAGACGAGATTCCCTCTTCGTTTTTATTATATTTCCTTTTCCTCCGTCGTTACTCCTCCTTATGTGTCTTTCCTTTTTATAGTTTGGGTCCTTCTGAGGAATCCCCATTCTGTCATTGGGAAGTGCTCTAGATGGATAGACGTAGAGACTCTGGTGCTGCAAGAAAATCTTCTGGATGATGTTGCTTTGTTTAGAGCTGAGGGTGTAGCTGTGAAGTAGGAGCACAATGTTAATTTTCCCCCTCACTGACACTGTAGCTGTCTGTCAGTGTGGGTTTTTGATGCTTTGATAGTTTGTAGCGACCTCAAGGCATGGGTAGACACACACAGAGGTACTGGATTTGTTGTTTGCTCAACATAAAACAATACCTCCTGTTTATTTGTAGTACTAGAAGGAACCTAGTATTGCACAAAGGTGAGAAGGGAAGAGATCTACCAATTAGAGAGGTAGATCTCTGACTCGTGATTATGTAAAGTTCTACAATTACCAACATTAAATCTGCATTTTATTTTTTCTAGCTTGAAAATTAAACCGTCAACAGAAAATGTTTATTATTCAAACAATGTTAGCAGTTTTGCCTCGTTTCCACTGAGCAGTGCAGCACGGGTTGTTGTGGTTTCCATTGTAAAAGCAGTTCATGCATCACCTTTCCCTTGTAGAGCCGTAGGACGATGGTGCAGTTAGGGCGGAGCTATCAGCGTCACACAACGGTTCATTGATTGAGGAGGAGAAAAACGTCACTGCTCGAGACGAGCATGAGACGTACCAGTGCGTCCAGTTTGTTATCAAAGTCATATGATGTTAGGAGTTTAACCTCTCTGCCCAGTGAGAGTTTAACATGTGGTGGAAACGTTTTCCTGAATACGTCGGACAATAAGACGCCGTACTGAACCGCAACGTACCGCTCAGTGGAAATGAGACATTCTCCATCATCAGAAAGCTGCAACTGTATTAAAATCCTTGAAGTTATGGGACATGGCTCCCTGAACAAATAAAACTCCACTAAAAGGAATGACAGAATGTGACATTTTAATGTGATATCTAACATTAAAATACCAAAGGGGCCGAGTCATAAGATCCAGTTAAAATAAAAAATAAGAATATCCAACCTGGTATCTGAGATGAAAAAGTTTAATTTTGTTGTCAGAAGTGTTTTATTATGAGTCTCTAGAGATGCCCTATAAAGCCTGTTTGTGATCGATCATTAGTTATTTATATTGGGACCAAAGGTGATGTCACACTGTGTGAGAGAGGTCTTACAAAACACTACAGCTAAACTGGATTTCACTGTTATTTCAGAACAAAGCCAGGATGAGAATACCGAGGTTGAGCTTCAAGCGGTCTTTAGCATCAACATCTAATGATTAGCACTGTTAGCATTACTAACAGCCTTATTGTGTTCTTATTTTAACCCAATTTCCTCAACGTTTTCAACTTGGACTCGCTCTAAATCAAAGTATCTGAAACGGCAGCACAAACTTAGTTGTTTTGAACGCAATTTGAAATTATGATGGACACGTAGCAAAATTAGTCAACAAAGGCCACAACTAGTGACCAGCTCAGAGCATCAGCCTGCAGGTGGAATCAGACTTGTCTGCCAGCGCTGCTACAAGTTAACTTCCACCACTGCCTCTGTCCCGGCTGTGTGGCAGTAAGCTACCTAAGCCTTTCTGCAAGAGATTAGCTTGTGTGAGAAGGATTAGGACTAGTCCGTCAGTGTGTGTGTGTGTACATAGTATAAGTGTGTGTGGTGTACAGTAGGTTGGCAGCGTCTGGAAGCCAGCCTCAGTCTGTGTGTGGTGTGTAAATAATTCCCTGTTCTCTTTTGCTATAGCTGCAGACCTCAACATGCCACTCCAGCTGGCCCCCATTCCTTAGGCCCCACTGATTATGCTGAGCTCATGACTTTGATTGGCTTTCTTTGTGTCTGATATCCTCTTGTTCCTGTACAGAATGAAGAACTGGATAAGAAGTACGCTGGCCTTTTGGAAAAAAAATGGACCTCAGTCATCAGATTACAAAAGAAGGTTTGTGGGGTGTTTTTTTTTTTTTTCCCCTCTAAGAATGCTTGTGGGGATTACAGTCTTGTGAACAGTTCGTGACATTACAGCTGAACACAGTGCTAAAAAAAAAAAAAAAAAAAAAATGACAAAAAAAAAAAAAAAAAGAAATTATGGACACAAGTTTAAATAATATGTTAGGTAAAAGCTGATAACCAAACACACTTTCCCTTTTTTGTAATTTATTTCACCTGTATTTTCCTGTAACGCTGTGAACTCTGGGCAGGTGATGGAGCTCGAGTCGAAGCTGAACGAAGCTAAAGAGGAAATCACCCTGGGTGGACCAGTAAGTCAGAAGCGTGACCCCAAAGAGTGGATCCCGCGTCCGCCTGAAAGATACGCGCTGAGCGGCCACCGCAACCCCGTCACCCGCGTCATCTTCCACCCGGTCTTCAGCGTCATGGTGTCGGCCTCTGAGGACGCAACAATAAAGGTCAGTGCCCCTACAAGGAGAGGATTCTGTAAACATCGAAGGGAAAATTCAGAGTTTTAAGTGGTTTGTTAAAAGGTACCGACTGGGAAGAACCTTTTGTGCAGTAATATTTATTTGTCGTCTGATACTACATTAGTTCATAAAATTGAAGCTATAGTTTTTTTTAAGCATGTACAGGGGATTAAAGTGTAATAAAGTAGCACAGTACGTTTCCCCAGTGTGACTCCTTGTGATTGGTGGCTGGGTGTCGCTCATCAGAGTATAGAATGAAGTTGAGAATGTTGCAGCCTTTCCTGTCTGGCTTTCTATAATATTTTGGGAACGATATTTCATTTTCTTCTCCACGAAGAGCATGATCTTCACAACAGTAGCACAGCGCTTTTAGTCCGTTTCCTCTGCAGAGTTCTCATCCGCAGCATTTTCCAGGTCACATGACACAGACGAGACGCTGAAGCAGCCGGTGTTTCTGTTGGTGCCGCTGGAAAAGTGAAAAATGCTGATAGGAAAAGGCAAGAACACTAACATGGTAGATCAGAAATGTACAAAGATTGAAGAAAACGTCTGTCATGTTGAAACAGCTGGAGTCTTAAAGATGTCGATGCGGCGATTAGGGATCTTCACAGTCACGTTAAACGGTTATTTTCATTAGTTTCAGTAATTTGCGTTGAAAACTGCTTGGTTGCAGTTCATTACAATGACTTTTTCATTTGAAATGAACACTGAAATGGGTTTCGGCCTGATGGAAGAGAAACTCCTGACATATTTTGCTCTTGAAGCAGCAGATATTTACTCTGGCTTGATATGCTCAACACACACGGCAGTACGAGTCACACACAGTGGTGCAAAAATGGTCATTGTTGGAGAAGGCTGCCTACTGTGGACTTTGTTGTACATTTTTAGAAGTGGCAAATTTTGGGATTTTATATTTTTTCCTGTTTTCACGGAAATAATTTTCATATAAACAAGTTTTCCGCCAAGTTCATTTCAACAACATCCTATAGCATGATTATGATATAGTTCTCAGATGTTAAATATGTCATGGATGGCTGAAATTTAAATTTTTTTTTACATCTTAATTCATATCTAATTACAGCAAATATATTTTCTTCTGGCAGTATTTATATTAGACTGAGTTAATGTTCTGTAAATGGTTGCATCCTGTTTTTGCAAAAGGAATAATTCCCATGCCTTTCTCTCCCAGATTGTACAGATGGCACAGCTGTTGCTCTGTATGGATGATATTTAGATATGCTAATGTCTTTTACTTTAGGGTGTTTGCAGTAGAGGACACTTTTAAATGCACATTAGGGTTTCAGAAGCATTCTTAACTCTTGTCTCTTTTTTCATTTTGTCTAATTTCTTTTCCACAGAAGCTAACATTCAATTAAATGAAGCTGGTCGTTCCTCCTGTTTCACTTCCACTGCATTCCCTTCAGCCTTTTCTCCCCCTCTGCATGTTCCCTGCATCAAGGATCTCTCTCTGTGCCATCCAGACGTCTGTAGAATCCATATATAACTCCGTCAACCTGCCTCTGGGCAGCCTTTGCTGCAGCATCCTTCCACTGCCTCACTGCACAATCCCAATACTCTGCTGGGCTGTTTGTTATGCATCTATTATTCATGAGACAATAATAGACACTTGTACATTTCCTACTAGCCCACACCCACACAGCAGGGATCTTTTCCTCCGCGTTTTGGCACAGTGATCCCCCCCTCTACACCCCGCCTCTCAGCGTCCTGGCTAATTTATCTTCCACTTAAACCATTAACCGTCCCACCATGAGTACCCACCTTCAGCTGTCCGTCCCCTAGGAGCAGTCAGGCTCCGACTCTAATTTACGAATTCAGCCCTGCTTCTCTGCTCGTCTTTCCTTGCTTACCTTTTCTCCCTGTTGTTAGACCTGACTGTGTCCTACTTTCCACCTTAAGAGCTCCATTACATTTTCAAACACACAGACTTGTTTTGTTAGAAACGGACAGAAAAACACATGTTGGTTTTCACTGAGCCAGAACAGAGAGATTAAAGGAATGGCACTGCTTAGTTGGTTAACTCTACAGGTAACAAACTGACCTGCAAACATAAAAGCATGCAACACATCATTTCAACAGTTTATTTAAACTTACATTTTATTAACTTGGAAATCTTGAGTTTACCAAGACGGCACATTATAAATGCATAGTTAAGAAGCTAATATTGTTTATTTTGGAGTGACTTGCAGTTCTGTCCAGAAGTATTCATATTTTGTCACATTACAACCTCCAGACTAAACGTTGTTCCTAAATGTGATGTGGAAGGAAAATGAAATGTTTTTTTCAGATATTTAAAAAAATAAAAACCTCAAGTATTATGCATTTGTTCCACACCTTTTTCTGTGACTAACACCGGTGTGTGTAATTTCTCCTCAGTAAAAACCTGAAGACCAGACAGATCAGGGAATTGATGACCAATTTAAGACAGGGTTAGATTATAAAACAATATTCTAAACTTGGAGCGATGATCAATCCACAATGACCCAAACCTACCAGGACATATTTTACTGATGGAGAAGCAGCCAGGATGGTAACTCTGTAGCAGCTCACTAATATTTTTCCAATCAATGGATTATCCAACTTGAGTTTTATATTTTTGCCTTCACTCTGTAAATCTGGTCTAATTAAAGTTTTGATTAAGTCCATAAAATTTTGTTACGTATTAAATCTAAGCAATTAATTAAAATTAATGTGCTGAAGTCCCGGTTCTTAACATCACGTATCATGTTCAACATAGATCCAGGGTTTCCCCCAGTGTATTATAAGCCTGGCGGGCCACCAGGTTTTATTTGTGCCCCCACCAGGTTAAGCATTGCTTATTTATTTAAGTTTTTTTTTAATGTTTGCATTTATTAAGACTTTATAGTTGGTGTCCAGGTATTAATCTTCCAATCTATCAATAACACATGACTATCAAGTGATATTTTTAAAATTTTCTGTCCGTTTAGCTCAAAAACACGACTGGTCGCTCGATGAATGACTTCCATCGCGCCCAACCACCGGCTTAACAAGCTTTCTGGGGGAAACCTTGTAGATCTGTTAATCTGTTAGATTCTGTGCCTAAACTAAGTTAGGCACAGAATCTAACTTAGTTTGTATTCCCTAAAGGGCTAATTGAATTTGTTTTTGAATTAAGATGAAAGCTATTTCCACTGTAGTATTACACATTTTTTAGAAGGCGTAAAACTGCAGCTCTACAAGCAGAGCTTTTATAGCTCAGAAGCTACTGATGAATAATGCAACGTGCTGTAGAAACACATTTCCCCCCTCTGCACTTTGCACCTCCTGGCCATCTGTAGCTTCCTTCAGAGCGAGCACTGCGAAGGAAGGGGGGGAGGGGGGGACGTCTCCTGTCACCGTCTGCCCAGAATCCCCTCACCCCCAAGAGAGGGACCAGAGGAAGGTTTATCCTGTGACAAACCGTCTGTCTGCTCAAAAGCCACAGACTGAACAGCTCTCTCAGGCTAAAGAATCAGGCTCTTCACTGTTCACACCATATTCTGTCTGCAGTCCAGTTGGCGGTGCCAGACTTAGCACAACAAACGGTCTGACGGCTTTTATCAAGCACTTCTTTAATAATAACAAACTGATTTGTTTCACATTAATTTATAAAAAAAAATCATATTAAATTGTAGTTGATTAGTTTCATATTATATGAATTTGAACTCCTCTGTATTAGTGAACAAAGCTCAGAAAATGGTGACATTAGTGGTTGAAAATATTTCTGACACACAAATTGTGGCCGTCTAATTTGTGTGTTGCCTTTTATATTTTCATTAGGAATCGAAAAAGCTTTTGTGCATTGAATTAATTATAATCAATCCATACTGTGTGTGCAGGTGTGGGACTACGAGACGGGAGACTTTGAACGCACACTGAAAGGCCACACAGATTCTGTTCAGGACATCTCATTCGACCAGACTGGCAAGCTGCTGGCGTCCTGCTCTGCAGACATGACTATCAAACTGTGGGACTTCCAAGGCTTCGAGTGCATCAGGACCATGCACGGTGAGAGGACGAAGCAGCTGTCTCCGGCTCTCTGTGCACACAGTGTTGTTGTTGTTGTTTCCAGGTCACTGCTGACTAAATGTTGTTTGACTTGAACATCGTGTTCAGGTGGCACACGGGCTGTTTGTTGTCACTTCAGACCAAGCTGACGGTCACAACAGACGCCATCCAAGGGCGACTTCACTGCGTTTACAGGGACGATCAGTTTGTGGGATTTGCATCCTGATTAAACATTGATCATGTGGGGTTTCTCTTCAAGGCTCCGTTTCGCCTTATTCAGATTATGAAACAATACATCTTCTGGTGTATTTATGCTGATGACACACATTTTTATATTTGTGAGCACATAACCTCAGTCCAGTATAGCCAGTGTGTCCATAATGCCAGAATTTCTACCCTACATCTATCATCTATTGTCTTCAACTTATCGGAGATTGGGTTGCTGGGGCAACAACGGAGTGCCGTCAGATTTTGGCGGCTGTATTGTTTTACTTTCGTCCTTTGTGAAAGACGAGTCATTTCTCCAGTTAGCGCTAGATTTGTGCGTTTGTCTCGGTTGTATTTACCCTGAATGACCTGCGCTGTCGTCCACTTCCTGTTTGTTGAGCGGTCTCTGGTCCACTTGGTCACATTTGCATTCAAACCGCACCGGAGTTCACTTTAACCGAGCCGATTTAACCGGTTTTTGGAAAGTTTGCTCTTTTTTTTTTTTTTTTAATCTGCATCAGAGTCCGATTGTGCAATAACAGCTCCGGACTTTCTAGGCAAATGAACAAGAGTTTGATTAAAGCAGACTGAAAGGCCTGGTGTGAATGCACCCTTGTTTAAACGGCTCCTTAAGCTCGTTTCACTATTTTAACATCCTAAAGGCTGAAATGAATTATGGCAGTGTAGTTTACATGGCCCTGCTCAGTTGCGTCTAACCTCTACTAAAGGTGCCCTTTAATAACTGCTTGTGAATAAGAGGTGTGAATATTAATGAAGGTAATGAACAAACTTGGTGTTCAAGCAGAAACCATTGCAACTTCTGCAGATATCGACTGGATTGTAACCTGATTTCTCTACAAATCTGTCATCCAGAGTCTGCTGGATGGTTTCATTCCTGTAATATACTAACAACCCCCCCCCCAACCACCAATTCATCTGTTTAATAAAACAAAACCAACAAGGCCAACTGGTGAAGTGGATTACTGCTATTTGGACAGCAGTTTAATTATCATCTTCAGCAGCACAGTACACTTGTCTGTGTAGCTGCCCCTTTATATCACAGTCTGACGGCGTGTGTGAGCACTCACACACACTCACACACACTTGAGCTGGCCTTTTAGGACATACTTACCGTCTTCCTCATCAGTTTAGCAGCTTAAATACGGCCCAGCGTCTAGTTAATTAGGCATCTCTTATTCTCTCTGGGAAAAAAAAAGTCTGCCTGGTTAGTCATTTAATTGCCTAATTACGACCACACCGATTGGCTTTGCAGTATTTGGTGTTGAAGATGTGTGAAGAAAATTAACACATTACTTAGAAACACTGCTTAGCAAAGCTCTAAGAAGACTTATTGTTTTAAATGTTCCTGTTTCTTGCTGATAGTTGATTTTATTGTTTGTTTTTGTTGTTGTTGTTTTTTTTCTTTAGGACATGACCACAATGTTTCATCTGTAGCCATCATGCCCAACGGAGATCACATTGTTTCTGCCTCCAGGGACAAAACCATCAAAATGTGGGAGGTGGCAACTGGGTACGAAAAAAAAGAAAAAACACAAAACATCCACGAATCATTTTGAAACGCACGAGAATCACAACATTTTTGTGTTATTACGCTTTACACCCACTTTGATGATCTAACATCAGTAATTTCCTCCCCGATAGATACTGTGTGAAGACCTTCACAGGCCACAGGGAGTGGGTTCGTATGGTGCGGCCCAACCAGGACGGCACGCTGATCGCCAGCTGCTCCAACGATCAGACAGTCCGCGTTTGGGTCGTGGCCACCAAAGAGTGCAAGGCGGAGCTGCGGGAGCACGAACACGTGGTGGAGTGCATCTCCTGGGCTCCAGAGAGCGCACACCCCACCATCCTAGACGCCACAGGCTCTGAGGTGAGGAGCTGGTGTAGGGCTGAAACGATTCATCGATTACTGAAATAAGTTAGTAATTGTAACTCAAGAAAGGCTAGCTGGAGAAAGATCAACATTTTCAGAGTAGTAATTAAGCCAAAACTGTACAAAAATATATACATTTTGCTTTTAAAATGTAGATGAAAAAAAAACCTGTCTGTAAATATTATCTACCCAGAACTCCTCAAATGGGAGAGTTTTAGCTTCACCTGATTTAAAAAAAAAAAAACAACAAAACTCCCATTAAGCACCTTTTGCTGCCCGATTAATCAGCTCATCCAAACATTTATGAACAGATCTACACCGTATGTTGTCGGGTCAAAGGTTAGGGTCGGGCTGAGCTTTTCACATGCTGATGTTTGAAGTACCCTGGAGCGGAAGATGTTTTCTTTGCTTCAAATGATCAAGAGTTCTCTACAGGAATGCCAAGTTACTGCTATGTAGGCAATAAAATGTCTTTTTCTTATTTAAAACAGGAGTTGAATTATTTCTTTGTATTTCTAATCTTTAAAATAAATGAGCTTAAATGGAAAAATTTGCGCCGTTTTTTTTTTTAACAGGATTGATTAGTCATTGGTTGCAGCCATTAGCTGGTTGATGATCATCTGTTTTGAATAAACTGGTGCAGCCTGTCCTTTATTAGTTTTGCAGCTCACGTTGCATTTAGCGGCGTCTGTTTTGCAGCGGCTTGTCAGGTGGTGGGAGAGCAGACAAAGCAGCCAGTATGAGATTAGAGTGGTGAATCGGTGCTGCTGGAGACACATTTGCAAAACTCTCTACCAATCACCTCGGTGGTTAATTGGCAGAGATATCAGACAATCTTTGTTCAGCCTTGTGCTCCAATCACCTCCTGAGACCGATCGGGCTCGTCGAGTTAAGGCAGATCTAAGAGGTAAACTCATGGCTGGGTCCCGAGACGCAGTGACGTTTTCACGCCGCGTCGCATTATCACCTTCAGACCACCTGCGCTCTTCCTCCGCCATCAATGACACGTCGGTAGAGCGTATAACGTCGCCGCTGCTGAGGCTGATTTCCACGCGAAGCCAGCAGCCGGGAATGAAGGTGGTGTTGGGATGAACTGAGAGAAGAACCTCATGGCCTCCGGTCAGATCAGGCTCCCCATCGTGCCTTGTGATCTGCAGTGTGTCCAATCGTAACCTTGACGGATTAAAATAGTGTTTTTCTTGCAGCTGTTGTTCCAGACCAACATGTGCTCTCTGGCTTGGAAGATGTTTGTTTTGTTTTTTTCTTTGTAATGCCTTAGATTCAGTGCAGTGATGGAGTTGAGTTGGCACACTCTTAGATTTAGTCTAAACTAATTACATAAATAAGCTTATTTGTCTGCTCTTTCTGTTGAGCTGCATAGACGTTTTTAAACTCTTGAGTTGTGTCTCTGCCGCTTTTCCATATGAAGCAGCAGAAATCGTTGGACTTTGTTCTGTGCAACTTCTCTGAAAGACTCAGTTTGATTTGATGTGTGTTCAAATTTCATCTTCTGAAAGTTGTCCCAGAGCATCATGCCACCACCACCATGTTTACTGTGTAGGTGGTGTGTTAGGGTGATCTGCTTTTTTTTTTATTATTTCCCTTTTTCGCCTTCTCTATTTTGGATGCTGTACAAGATTAGTTTTGGTCTTATCAAACCATACTACACATTTCCACATGTTTCCTCTGTTTTTTTTACAGAGTTTGATGTAAATTAAGCTACTTAAAGCTTCTTTCAACAACGTCTCCCTTTTTGCCACTATTCTATGAAGTCCAGATTTGTTGTATATGTGCGTTTTGTCGGATGTAGTGCTTCATGACTTTTGTAGTGTGTGTGTGTAAATGTCAGCAGCTATTGTTGAGTTTAAATCCTGAAGGTTTTGATTTAAAGTTGATGTATAATCTTGTTTGCAGGTAAAAATTTTCTTTATCTTCTGGTGGAAAACAATGAACTACTCACATGACTGACTTTTTTTTTTTTGTGTGTGTGTTTATGTAGAGTAAGAAGAGTGGAAAGCCCGGGCCTTTTCTGCTGTCTGGCTCCAGAGACAAAACTATAAAGATGTGGGACGTAAGCACTGGGATGTGCCTTATGACACTGGTAAGGGTCACCTTATTCTAACATTAAATGATCCATATTCATGAACAGGATGAATTTAGGTGGAAGCTACATCAGCCTTTGTCTGTCTCTCAGGTTGGACATGATAACTGGGTGCGTGGCATCCTCTTCCACCCTGGAGGAAAGTTTATAGTGAGCTGTGCGGATGACAAGACCTTAAGGATCTGGGACTACAAGAACAAGCGCTGCATGAAAACCCTGAGTGCCCACGAACACTTTGTTACCTCTCTGGGTAAGCTGCACTTTGACCTCTTAAAGACGTGGCCTTTAATGTGTCACTTTTGTGCAGTTGTTCCAGTTTCACTAATAGCAAGTCCTCCCCCCCACACCCTCCAAATCTTGGTTGACCCAAAAGATATCAAAAATATTTGGCTCTGCATTTACCAGAATTATTGCGTATCGCAGGTTTTCCTAGCACTGCATACTGAGGTGCTTTACAAGATTCTCACGTTATGAAAATCTTGACTAAAAATACGACAGTTTTACGTTATCGGGATATGAGCTCTAAAATGTTTATGTAAAAATCTTTGACATAATCTAATTGATTTATTTTAAACAAAAATGCAACAAATATTACTGTTACAACTAAAAAAAAAAATGTCATTCAAATTAACCTAAGTTAATCCTTTTTGGCATTTTGCTTTTTTCAGACTACTACGAGTAAAACAGGCTGAAATTAGCTGTTTAATTAGCCTGACTGCACTTTGTAGAGCCTGTAGCTTTAAACAGATTGTGCTTGTTTACTTTGTAAAGGTCTGTCTTGTAAGAGAGTAAAAAGTATACTTGTTGCAGCTAGCTGACCAGCAGTGCTCAGCAGCAAGTGGGGGAGGAGCTGCACCATGTTACTCTATGCCAATAAGTGGGATATAGGATTCTTTTTCTCAAATAACCTTTGTAATCATCAATCTGTTGAGGTCCAATTAGCTTTTTGAACCATGTTGTTCATTTTATCTTGAAGAGGAATATTCTCGTATGTCCTGCTGCATTAGTTTCTGTTTATGTGCGCTTTATTTTGAAAGTCCTTCTTGTTTGTTTTCCAGATTTCCACAGGGCTGCGCCCTTCGTGGTCACTGGCAGCGTAGATCAAACAGTAAAAGTATGGGAGTGTCGCTGATTCGGACCTGGGAGGACTGGACCGCCAACCTCATTACCCTTGATGCTCCTCTGAACCCCCCGCCCCCCCATTCCCCTTCGATTCCCCGCCTCTTACCCCACCTCACCTCGTCCCCCCCACCCCCGCACATCTTCGCCTCCTCCTGGCTGCACTCACCACCGCGGTTATCCACCCTTAGCGCTCTCTGGTCCGATAACTTCTTGTCCTTCTGTGTAAATTATTCCTGGATGTAGATCGAGCTATTAAATGTTACACACAAAAAAAGTATTCTTGCATGGTAATCCAAAATTGTATACTGTAAATTTGCATACATAACGTTGTCTAGAAGTACCATAGGTTTAACACGACGGGGCTGAGCGTCTGTTCCTGCAGCCTTACCGACCAACTGAAGGCAGATGGTGTAAAAAATAAAAATAAAAAAATAAAAAACGTAGGGCACTAAAAACTGATAATTTAAGAAATGACAGTGTCTTTATGTCTAAGATTTATTTTGTCTATTTTTTTATTTAGGTTTTTTTTCTGTTTCCTCTCCTTCACTGTTGTAGTCTGTCGGTGCCTAGTTGGGTTTGAGAAATGAGGCAGGAGGAGCAAATTATGATGCAAAGAGACGTCTGGCGGGGCGTTGTTATTGACCCAATCTGTAGCTTTATAACATCACTTCTCGAGTGTGCGTACCATTTCTCTACATGTGGAGCTAGGTAACGTTTTAACAGCTTGTATGTATATATATATATATACATATAAATATATACAAATGTTTCATACCGTCGTCCTTGGACCTGGGGGGATTGAACAGCTTTGTACTCTTCTCTTAGGGGGACCACATAAACCGCTGCTGGGCTTTAGATAAATTATCTCTTTTCAACATAAGTGGCTTTTTTTGTTGTTGTTTTTTTTTTAAGTCGCAGTGCAAAGCTTTGTGCAGCACCTGAGCAGAGTCCAAGAATCGCACCTTGAAGATCTGGGTGGGCTCGCTTTTTGTAGCTTGTTTTGAGCTGAGTTTTATCATCTCTTTCTCCCTTTTTTTTTTTTTTTTTTTTTAAATCGCTCAGCTAAAGCAGAGTTGGAAAGCATGCAAAGGTGCTGTCCTGTGGTGCCACTAGAGGAAGTAAACGCAAGACGTTTAAATATTCAGGAAGAGAAACGAAGGCATGATGATTAAAGCGAAGCCCAGCTCCCCGGTTTGATATGAGATGTGCAAAGATCTTTAATTTTTGAATAAATTCTTAAGATTAAGAATGATTTTGAGAAAAAAAAAAAAAGGAATAGGAAATATAAATTTGTACATATGAGATTGGCTCGCGACGTGAAAGCCCCTTAGACCGCAGCACATTCACACAAACGAGCTGAGTGGCTCTCCTCAAACATTCAGACTGAAAAGCAAAGCCACTCCACTCTTTCAACCCTTTTCTCTCTCTAACTTTGTCCTTTAAAGGTGTTTTCATTAATCCTACTCATCCCCCGTTTTTCACTGAAGATGCTGTTAAAAGTTTAATGATGTTGAGACGAATATAAGCCTCTACTAGTTTCTGACGAGCCTGTCCATTCCAGCTCTGCTAATTAAGGAGCCGCACCGCTTGACTTGTTGCTACTTTTTTGGCAAGTTTCCCTCCTTGCCTGTGTGCTGGACGTGGTGATCTGCTGCTTTCGCTGAAGTGGCCGCCGTGAGCCTTTCGTGACCGGTCGATGTAGCGCAGCTGCATGCAAGACCTGCATCCGGACGCAGAGCTGTCGGAAACCCCAAAGCCTTCGTATTGAACCGATTTGATCGATTGAAGTAACCGTAGTGTGGGAGCTTGATGAATTGTGCTGATTTGCCTCTTTTTTATGTTTTAAATCCGGAAACTAAAGAAGTAGGCACAGATCCATAATGCTCCTTCCTAAAATGATTGGTCTCTGACTGGCTTGTTGCGTTCAGACAGCTCTGTCGTTTGGTTTGTAGGAAGGTTGATTTGTCGTGTGTGATTCTGTTTTTGTTTTTCTTTTTCTGTATATGCAGCCGGATTGTGGCAGACTAAGTATGCCCCCAAAAGGAGAAATGATCTCTTTCAGGGAATTTTACTCTCGATACTCCCTCTGGTTTGTTTTTTTTTTTTCCCCCGCCCCTCTAAGCCGTTTACTCTGTCCAAAATGTGGTGAAGAGGGAAGCAGTTGGGCTTTGTAGTTCAATTCGGCACGATGTGTTAAATGTGCGAGCTGAAGCCAAAAATTAAGACGTTTGTCTGTACAATCTGGTTTATCTCTGAAAAAGAAAAAAATAAATAAATAAAGAACCTCGTTTTTGTTCCGGCCTTTTGGATATGGGAGTTCTCCTCCAGATCACGCTATGACATGCCAGACCTTCACAATAAAAGCTGGAAAATGCTTTTCCCTTCCTTGCTTTTATTCAAGGAAGTTGGTTATCCAGAGGTCGGGCTGATGTGTGCTCTTTTATTTTTTAATAAGTCAGTTAAGAAAACAATCCCCTCTAAAACAGCTGCTGCTGACGATGTTTTATGCAAGTGTTTGAGGAAAATCCAGTTTTGCCATTCGCAGGTCCTAAGTAATCCCTGTGCTGCCGTGGCTCGGCACGAAGCGACCAACAGGCGACCTTTTGAAAGCCTGCAGGTCGTCCGCCAGCCGCAGGTCTCTGTGTCCTCTGAGCTGCCTGTCGAACCACATCGGAGGGCTGCATTCTGCACAATAAGCTCCTTACAGGAGAGCTCATGATGTTTTTGCCACTACGGTCTCACTCTTCACACAGTAAACTGTTAACAATACCTGGATGTCATTATTGTTTGCGATATAATAAAAGGAAAAAAAAAATCTGCATTTGTGTGTCCTGCTTTTTATTTATTTTTTTACTTTGTTGTAACGTCTTGACTTTTGAGAAGATATTCAAGATGGAGATGAGATTGTTGGAGCAGATTAAAGAACTGCTGATGTGGAGTCTCCAAATCTGCACTATGATCAGTTATTGACCAAATATCTGAATTTGATACCCATCCAGGCTGAAATAATGGCTTTGTGTTTCTCCATTGAAGCCACTAAATGTGATGGGTTTTTTTTTTTTTTGTTTTTGTTTTTTTCCTTTATTGAGCAATATGTTCATTACGGTTTTTAAAAAGACTATTTTCATTGTATTTCTGTACTGGAAGATCAATACATATTGAATAGCAAGAAAAGTTTTAATATTAAAGTTATGATTAAATGTAGTTAATGAAACTGTCTTGTGAAGCACAATGGTGGAACCATGATGGTCTGGGACTTCCTGCAGTCTTTCATGCTGAAAAGACTGCATGTCTTTAATGCAAACGTACAAATTTGCAGAATCTGTTACATTGGCCTATGCAAATCACAATGAGAGCTGAATTTTAGCCAAGAAGAGGCTGAAAATGCCACTCGAAGTTTAAGATTATAAGTCATAGACTGAGTGTGACATGCATTTTTTTGTTAGAGAACTTTTCAAAAATTGTTCTATTTTCTCCTCTACAGGTAAGAGTCCCTTGAAAGTTTTTGGGATAGGTCTTCACCACTTCATCACATTTAGACAATTTAACATTTTGCTGGTTTGGTTAAGTTGAATCAGATTAGCTCTTTTGTGAACAATAATCTTTTCAAGTAATGTTGCACATTGTGAAGTGGCTTAATTCTGGACTTTCTAGGTTATTTATAGAAAATTTCAGTATTAGGTTGGACTACTGACCTTTATTTTGGGGTATGGATGACACATTCCTGTCTGTTAGAGTCAAAGTATAACATTTCAACATCTGACAAAGGTTTTTCATACTCACGGATTACCTTAATAGAAATTCCTTTTTGAAAAAAAAAATAAAAAAAAAATCTTAAAGTATTTCTGATACTGATAATTTCCCGTTCTCTCTCTAAATTAGACACTAATCGTCTTTCATATAAAATACCAGCAGCGCTCAATGAATAACGTTTGTTCTGTGAAAATGGAAAGGATTAAATACTTTGGGAAGATCCGAGAAAGAAATACGACGTCTGGAACGCGTCGATGACGTCAACGCGCAGCAGCGTGACGTTGGAAGGCGTTCAGGAAAGAGAGAAACGTTTGAACAACGTGAGCAGTTTGATCTTCTGTTGCATTTAATATTTCAGCGCCGGAGTTGAAATACTGCTAACAACGAGATTAAGCCGCTGTTCATCCAAATAGGTACAGAAACCGGATGTTTGGTTGGTCATAGTTGGTTGGCTCTCAAAGTTAGCTTCTGTGTGAGTTTGTGTTTACTGCAGTTAGTTTTTGGACTGAAAGATCTGAAAATATAATATCAATACTGACTTTTCCAGTCAGTAGAAGAACACTAGTTTTCCTCTGAATGGCAATGCTTTCTGTTGTTTGTAGTTTTAAAATAAATACCAAAAATTTATGGGGGTAATATCTGCTTGTGTTTGTTTGTGTGTTATTGTTGGACACTAGGATTATCGCCATGGCTCTCAATAAATCTATGCATCCTCGGAACCGATACAAGGACAAACCTCCGGACTTCGCCTACCTGGCGTCCAAGTACCCGGATTTCCAGCAGCATGTTCACACCAGCCTCACAGGAAGACCTGTGTAAGTTTTTTTCCCCCCCCTCTACGTTTTGTTTTAAATAGTCACTATCCAGTCAAAAAATATTGCTTAAAGTGTCACTGACCTCTTGTAATGGATATGCAAACCAAATGCTGAAAAAACCCAAGCCAGGATTCAAACCCAGGACTTTTCAACTCTACTGTGCCCCCCAACCATGATTCCCCCATCCCCATCTGTCAGTGAGACTTCATTTATTTGAATGTGATGCAAACTTGCAATTATGTGGAACACACAATTTAATTTAGGATTATTAAATTCCATAAATTTGTTTTATGTTTCTGACAAACTCTCTGTGTGGCCTCTGCAGCAAAATGCAAAAAAAAGAAAAGAAAATGTGTGACTAGGGATTAATGATTCTGCTGCTATGGAAGAGAAACTCTAGTATTGCTATATCTCTCATTTTTCTGTCTTTTTTGATGGTATGAGTCGCGATGGGGACTGGGATCACTGTCATCCTTTTGTTTTCATCACGCAGAGATAAAAATAAAACAAGACAGACGATATATTTTGGCTACCTTTAGACATATTTAGACTAAGACAAGTAGAGGAGTTTCAAATTAATGATGAAGATAATAGATGCTGTGTTATTCTGGTAAAGAAGTACCAGTATATAAGTTGACAATCGTTTAATGATGCCTGGACTGGAACTTGGAAGTAAAAAAAAAACACAACAACATTTATAGTTCCTTCTTGTCAGCTGAGCTCTCCTGATGAGTTAGCTTGATATTAGCCTGATGTTTATATCCAGCAATACAAACCAAAGTTCAGTTCAATCGTCCGGAGATCGGAATTAATTACATTTAGGCTTGAATCAGAAACCAGCTGCTTAGACGCTGAACAAAGTCAGATTTTATTCATCTGTGTCCATGAATGCATCAAAATTAAACCTAAGATTTCAGCCTATAAATTCATCAGCCAACAGAATTCACAGTGTTTTTAAAAATAATTTATGCAGTTTTTTTCCTGATGGATTCAGCCTACGGCCTCTACTCGCATCTGTCTCTTATATGTCACTGTCTTTTATAAAACTTGAATCAGATAAAATCAGAGACTGCAGATCAGATTTTTTTAGAAACCAGAAAGCAGCATTGGTTTCAAACCATTAGGGTTCATTCACAACAGACTTGTTTAATCTACTTTAGTCAGACTCTGGTTCGTTTTCCAAGAAAGTCTGGTTTGTTTGGGGGAGGTGTGAATGCACAAACTCTGATGCGGACCAAAAAATCTAATTCTGGTCCGCCTAAAAATTTTGGTCTTTTGTTGAAGTGGACTCTGGTGCAGTTTGAATGCATATGTGAATGCGAGTCGGACCGCAGGCTGCTCCAAAAGCAGGAAGTGGACTACAGCGCAGGGCATTCTGGGTAAATGCAACTGAAACAAAGGCAATTAGCCTAATGATAGCGGAAGAAATGACTCGTAGACTTTTGCCAGAGATTTAAGAGAAATCCTATAACGGCTAAAATCTGATGCCACTCCATTTTGTCTACATTTTGTGAAGAAGGAAGTTGCTCTTCTGTCTTCTTCTGAAGTTTTTGTGTCATTTCCTTCAGTGGACTATAGTACAGCGCTACTACAGGCGAGGGGGTGAACAGGTGTTTTAAAAGGTTTAGTATGAAAGCGAACCACACCAGCAGAAAATGTAACAATCGAACTGATTCAACCAGACAGTCGGGTGTAAAAACACCCTCAGTGAGGACCAGAACCTTATGCCATAAGCAAAGCATTACACCCAGGTGGCAGAAAAGTTTGAATTATTTGACTTTGTATACAATAATGACTCCTTGAAGCCTTGGAAATCGTACTCTCTGTTGATAAGGAAACCACTTTTCCTCATTATGCAGATGAATGTGGACGTATGGATTTGGGAAACCTCTGGGTGTGTGGAAACACGTTGGTGTGGGCTGTGAAGTGGCCAGGCAGCCATCTTGCAGTGGACGCAGTGTGGGTGTGTGGGCACGCTGTAAACCATCGCTCCCTGTGCTGGTCTGACAAGTGCTAATTAACATGTGATGGCGTTCCCGTGTCTGCGTTTTCCTTACGCAGACACGGGAAGAACAAAGAGCTGGCAGGTTTTTGTCCGTCAGTATGAAAACTGAATTTAGACAATTAAAGAACTTGCTTTGAGTTTAGAGCTTTTAGAGCAGAGACACAAAGGATTAGTCTGAGACTTGTGCTTCACTTCTGATGGATGGATTAAGTCCTGCAGATATTGCATTTTATATTGCAACAGAAGAGACTTTGGGTTTGATCTGAGGCACATTTTTCTTTGCTTCATGTTCAAGAAAATCCTGCTTTCTTTTATTTGGTCACAACATTTTGCACCCGAAATGTCGCTCGGTTCTCTCTAAACAGATCAAAAAACCTGAAAACATCCCAGGGCTCTTTCAGCTTTTCCAGCTGACACCTGTGTTCAGGTTTATCCGTCTGCAGTAATGTCCTTCCTCTTCCTCCTCTCCCTTTTCAGTCCGGCGGTCCGTCAGTAGACGGGAGGATTAGTGTGGTTTTGTATCTTCCAACCAACTCATCTACTGGGTTTTTAAAGTATTTAAGCAAAAGAAATTGGGGGATGAGAGTAATCTCAGGGAGACACTCGCTCCATCCTCGGAGGAGACGCGTCTCCCCTCATTCAGAGGCCGCCGGTGGAGAGCGCTGATAGCACCCCAGACCAGAGGCAGCTGCAGAAATGTGCTGGATTTGATTTGAATGGAAGTGGGGAGGGAAAAGATAACAACCCCTCTCCTCACCAAAAATCACCCTGAATGTTGGTTTGTTTTCAGCGTGTCGGGTTGTGGAGCGAGGCGGACAGAAGGCGTAGGATTAGGAAGGAGCAGCGGTTATTAAAGATGCATTAGCCTGGTTGACATTTAATTTAAAAATGTTAAATTTTCACTCCACTTCTGTTCAGAGATGTATTAATAGTCAGGTTCTTAGAAGAGAAAATGGAGATATAATGAGGAACCTTGATGGGCTTAAATTGATCAGCGTTGCCCGGCAGTGATTCACAGCCGAGCTGCTAATATTCAGGGGCTTTTAAGCCGTCTCATGTGAGCGAGGTGAGGGAAACTCTGCAGGTTGACGGGTTTTTAATTCACTTATTTAATTTAAATCCACTGTGAGGATGTCGGTGTCTCTTTTTTTTTTTTTAAGCTGTTGTGGCTGTGCAAGTTTTTTATCAAATATCTGTGGTTATTTTAATACAAGAAGTTGTTGGAATATTGGAAATCATTGTCATGAATTTCTTTTAAACCTTCCAGAAAAGCAGACAGTGCGAGCCGGTGACGTGTGTGGGCGTGTTTTTGTGACAATAAAGCGCAGGATGGAGAGATCTGCTGCTTTTTGTTCATCAGCTGAAATCTCCCCCACCCACATTTGAAGTGGCAGTGATTCATTTATTGTATTATTATTATTGTATTAATTTCTAGGAGGGTCCTGCATTTGCTGTAGATAACAGCCAAAGAGCTTTTGATTTATTAAAAAAAAATAATATAAAATAATAAAAGTGAGCTGCTTTTCTTTGTGTGGTTCTTCACGGTGCTCATCACTGATAGGTAAAGAAAAGGGCTGGAAGCATAATTATTTGCATCTCATTTAAAATCATTTTCAGTTTCACCTAATTTCATTAGGTCATTGTTAAAAATGAGCTTTAATTACATTGTTATTAAATACAGCAGCTTAACTTTGAATCTGTCATTAATTATAGTAAATCTGATTGACCTGTTCTTGTTGATATTTGTATTTTTTTTAATCTAAGGATTTAGTTCACAGAGTTACAAAGCTTCATTTATAAATGTATCTTTTTAATTAAGATACAATTACTGGGTTGAAAGCTGAATTTAAAAGCAGACTTTTAAAAAAGATGATAACTACACATTTTACAAGGTATCAGTCAGGAGACGAGTACAAATAAAAAATAAAAAATTTTATATGCATCAGCTTCCTGCTCTGAAAGGAGTCGCATCTTGCTTGGTTTTCTGCTGCTGTAGCCCAGCTGCTTCAAGGTTTGACATGCTGCACTTGTCACCTTGGTTACAACAAACAGCCATTTGAAATCCTCCCTCTCCCACCCTCTGGATTATGTTTTCTTCTCTACATCTATAGATGCCTAAATGCTTGGAGCTACCATGTTATTGGCTGATTTGCTGTTTGCATCAGCACTCGGTTGAAGAGCTGTACCTAACAAAGTGGCCAGTGACAGTGGATTTATCACACGAGGAGTCAGGCTGGTGATGTCAGATGCAGAGTTTTGATCGTCGCCCTACAAATCTTCGTCTTCAGTCGTGGTCTTTTGTTTAAAAAACAAAAAAAAAAAAACAACAGTTTACATGTGCAGTTTGAAGCTGCTGTTTAATATTTGTAGCTTACTAAATATAAAATGACCTTCCTAAACTGTTTGTCTTTTCATGCAGGTGATTGTGATGGGTTTTTAAAACGGCTGAGAGGAGAAAAGATGCTGCCTAATCAGCACAATGTGTTTCCCTGAGCTCCCACTGGGTTCAGATGAAGGTTGTCTCTGTGAGCCGGGTTTATCCATCTGACCATTTGTGCTTTAAAGCTGATCATAAAACGACTTCTCCACCTCTGAGAACACAAACTCTTATTTCTTCACAGACTCGGCCGACGGTGACGCTCCTTCTCCGTTTCAACACCCTCTTCCTCCTCTCTCGTTCAGAATCCTACTCCGGGCACCAACTTTTTCGTCTCGTGGTTTGTCCCTCCTCGGGTCCCGTCGGCTTCGACCGTGTCGTAGGCGCGCAACGGCGAGCCCTGACGCCGCCGCTGCGTGACGGTGCGGGCGCGCTCACGCGCTCCTCCTGCTGCCATCAGCCATTGCTCCAGCGTGGCCGGATTTGCGTGCGCCGCTCATCGGCTTCAGTAGGTGTGGTTGCCAGGGAGACGGCTGGCCCCGCATCGCAGGCTCACACACACACACGGAAAGGTCTAAAAATAGAGCAGCGGCCCGAGCAGCCTCCCCTTGTCTGAATATCGATCTCTATCTAACGATGCCTCTGAGGAGAAATCAGGGCTGAAAATGTGAGCGGTGGAGAGGAGGTGATGAGAGAGGCTGGCTCTCGATTTGGCTCTGAGCGTTGCGCTGATGTACCGTGGCTCGCTCATTAGTCTTGTTCCTCACCGTAACCCGACCCAGTTTCTTCCTTGGCTCATCTTTTTTACAATCTTGCTGTGGATCCTTGGAGGTCAGCAGCTGGTGAGCTGACATGTTAGCTTAATGAATGTTTATCAGATGAGGGAAGATGGAGCTCAGACTTGAAGTGAGAAAAGTTTATTACCTGTTTAGCTCTTCATTTGGAAAAATTGAAGGAGATGAGTTCTCCTGCTTAAAAGCTGCCGTATGCTTTTATAAAAAAAAAAAGTTTTTATATTTGTTAAAGCTGTCGAGTAATCTGAAAAAAAAATCTAGCTCCTCTGCCTTCTCCCTTAGCTACTATTGCCATCTGCAGAAAAACACCACTCCTGGTCAGAAGCAACCAATCACAGCCAGGAGGAGCGCTGTTAATCACGCTTGTGTACGTGCTGTTCACACCTTCTGTCTTGCTTTGTCCTGCAGTACAGCAACAGAGAAATCTGTGGTCTGACCAATCAAATAAGTTAACCAGCATTTCAAATGGTATAATTTAGTTTTCTTTTTGAACAGCTTTTAACATATTTTGTTTATTTTAACACCTCAGTGATGATGAAAGTAGCGAATTTTGAGTCTGCTTCCTGCAGTACTAACTTCCACCCTGAAGAGTGTGTTTGTTAGCATGAACTGGTTGCTCTTAGATGTGGGGCCTCGCAAAAATATGACATATTTTGTCATTTAACAACCACAAAATTTAATGCATTTCACTGAAACGTTATTTGAATGGAAAATGATGCATCGTTTTCCTTTTTTCTTTAGAAAAAAATCTTAGGTTTATTAGCTTTTGACTGCACATTATGACTTTCACTTTACTAATTTGTTATTCATCATCATGAATCTATTTATTTTTGATTAAACTGTAACACCGTCAGTTTGATAAAAGATCAAATGTTTGCTGCCATGATGTCTTGAGTTAAATGATCAAACTTCTGCTGAATCTGATAAAGGTTCTGTCCATTTTATAAAGTTGCTTTTTTTTTTTTCCTGCCTGGATAAAAATTTAAATTGTTTGAATTTTTCTCATCATGCAGTCAAGAAAATCAAGAGTTGAACGTCCAATGGTTTCTACTTTAGAATTCAAATATTTCATCTTTTTCTGACTGATATTCCTAATGGGGAGGAATATTTCTAAAACCAAAATCCAAGATAAATTGTGTCACATCTGCGTCTCTTTCAGCCGTAAATGTTTTGTCATCCTGCTGGTTTGCTTTCACACCAACTACGTGCGCAGCGCAACGCTCCCAATCACCAGGATGTAATTAATTGCATCTGCCAAGGTGTAAAAGGACCCGGCGAAGCTTTAATTACAGCTCCCTCGCCCACACCTTCTGGTGCGACAGCTGAAACGGTTAAACACGTGGAGGAGGGAAGACGAGTCGGGCAGGGAGGGCTGGGAATAAGGAAGTGTGGAGCTTTGTGTTATGTTGGGTGTGTAAAAATCTTTGTTATCAGCGGGGGGATTTAATTTGATGGACTGCTTATCCCCACACCGTCCCTCGTCTGTGTGTGTTTCTGTGAAATGTGAAGTGATGAGGCTCGGTGCAGAGAGCTGCAGCGGGTTAATGAAGTAGCGTTTTAAGAGCAGTTTGCTGAATTACTGTCTGGTGACCTCAGAGGTTAATCCAGCAGGGCACAAACATAAAGATAAGTGAAATCGGGCCGAATTTAAAGTTTATTTTTATGGCTCTGGTCACAAACTAATCAAAATAGCAACAAAGTGGATTTGCTAAATACTGCGAAGTGTGGAAACTACGCAGCAAGTGCCAGACTTATTGTGTAAAAAGTTGCTAAATATTTAATCATATTGCTATCCTGTGTGGTCACAATACAACAAACCTATAGAAATAAAGTAATTATTATTTTAACCAGTCTCTTTTTCTTAAGGCTCATTTCTGATTTTTGACTCAACAAAGCCAGTTACTTAGGAGCTGATTTCAGATTTGAACAAATAAAAGGGACCGCATTGATAATAATTAGTGTTGTGAATCGATTTAAAAAAAATAAATAAATCGGATTAATCACCATGCTTGACTTCAAAATGTTTAAAAAAAATCTTTCACCGTTTCAAACCAGACATCTCAGATTTCTAGGTTTTTATATTCAGGAGGGTTTAAAATAAATCACTTTGTTTCAAATTGTAATTTAGAAATGTTAGCTATAAATTTGTTGTGCTGGAAGAATAATTCGTTATTGCAATTCGTGCAAAACTGCGTTGCTGTGAATTTGGTAACCCTCTGCAGGAGAGGGGCTTTTAGTTCAAAATAGGTCATGTGATTAATCTGCATTATGCAATATTAACTTGTTAAAACTTTGATTAATTGAGTGTGTTAACTCGTTAGCATTAGCAGCCTTATCAATAATCTGCTTTTGTCTTATGTGTGATTGAACTTTTTCAGAAACTTTTACTGTAATCTGGTTTTCTTGCAGTGTGAATTTCAAAGAGCCGGAGGCAGTGCGTGCGCTCACCTGCACTCTGTTAAAGGAAGACTTTGGTTTGACCATCGAGATCCCTCTGGAGCGCCTCATCCCCACCGTCCCCCTGCGCCTCAACTACATCCACTGGGTGGAGGACCTCATCGACGGCCAGAAGCAGCCTCGCCGCGGCATCGACATCGGTACGCCCTGCACCGCGTTTCTTACTGACTGCACACACGCCATCACGCATGGGAGCTGATAAGCTGTTAATAAGCTGTTTACTTCAAATTTCTACACGAAAAAATGTAATTACAGTTTCCACAGTTTGCACATTAGAAGAAACAGAGGTGAAATAAATATGTATGTATCGTTGAATTGTCCAGATGAATTTAATATATTTTAGTTTCATGACATACAGCTGCTAAGGTTAAGGTTTCTGCACTGGGAGCCAAACATAAACTGAAGTTTTATCCTGTTTTTGTGGGACTGCACCTTTAACCTTCCAACGATCTTAAGAGATGGGGTCATTTGAACTACACAAGTATTTTACTCTGTTCACTAGGACCGACCTCACGTTTTGTTTTAGGAGTTTATTTTTTTGTAGTTTTGTGAATTGACGGTCTGATGGGTCAAACTCCCTGCTTCCCTCTGTTGCTCTCGTCCGGAGCGTCGCACTAAGACTGTGGGAGGGTTAACCGAATCAGATTTGGTTTTCTTTGTGTCCTTAAACTATGATGTGCTCCAGCATGTTGTAAAAACATCAACACCCCTTCAACTTACCAACTTTCAGTGGAGAGCCATTTTTAGGTCTTGTTACAGATTTTTAATTGGGTTTAGGTCTGGAGTTTGGCTAGGCCGTTATAAGACTTGACTGTACTGTGGTCTAACCCATTCTGCTATTCTGCTGGCTGGATGTTTAGGGTCATTGGTTGCTTTAACAAATCTTCTTCTTTCTTTTTTTTGCCCTTTTCTAAGCTGTTCATGCTCCCATTTCTGTTTCTCTTCACGTTTTCTATTAGAGAGGATTACGAAGTGACATTTAGACCTGGGAATGACCCGAGTCATTCCCAGTTCCCCCAGTGCTCACTCAAATCCCTGTCCAGATGCCTCAGCTCGTGTCCAATCTGTCAGTCTGAGACGAAAACAACTCTGAGCTGTCCCTGCAGAGGTGTGGGTGTGTCCTCTGTGAGGCTCCAGGTCACCGATTGGTGACCCTGTAGCCGTTAGTAAGCAGAATGAAGCCGTCGTCTCTGTGATGGATCACCACTGGTTGTCCCTTTAGCAAAGGATGCCGTCTCTCTCTGAGTGTGACCTGAATAATGCATCTTGTTGCATCAAAATAATGCGATTATCACCGCTGGAACTGACGTTTATTGGCTCCAGATGTTTAGAGTGTTTAGTATCGCATCGCATCCTGTCTTTTGTTAACTTTAAAACATCAGCGCACATTTCCATGTCATTCCCTGACGGCCACAATCATTCTTCATAGTGATGCAGGCATCATTTTCAGACGTCAGACGTGTGCTCCCTGTTTCCACAGGTACCGGAGCGTCCTGCATTTATCCCTTACTGGGAGCCACAATGAACGGCTGGTTCTTCCTCGCCACAGAGGTGGACGACATCTGCTTCGACTACGCAAAGAAGAACGTGGAGCAGAACAAGCTGTCAGACCTGGTGAAAGGTGAATGCAGGCTCAGACACGGTGTGGGTTGTGTGATGCTGTGGGCTTTGACGCATCGTGAGTGGCGGCAAAATAAAACGGTGTCACGTCAGATTCAGTTGTGCTGCTTTACTTGTTTAGAGCAGCTCTTAAATCATTTCGTAATTCGTTTTTTTCTCTTCGACAGTTGTAAAAGTCCCGCAGAAGACTTTACTGATGGACGCCTTAAAAGAAGAGACAGAAATTATTTATGACTTCTGCATGTGTAACCCACCGTTTTTCGCAAACCAGCTAGAAGCAAAGGTAGGTGCATCTCAGTAGGTTATAATGTAATGTAAGATTTTTATTCATGTTAGTTATTATTCTTTCCGTGTTCAATATGGAGTAGAAAGAAGAAAAACATATCCTCTCCATCTGATATTGTTGGTCCGCCGTGTTTTATTATGTCCAGAGCAGCAGTCCACTAGGAAATTTAGCAAACTTTATGCTTTTTTTTGGCAAACGTTCACTCATTTTGAATTTGAAGAGCTGAGAGATGTTTAAAAAAACCCACTTGTTTGGATCATTCCTCGAGTTAACCGGAAACAACTCCACGCTGCACCACATTGAGGCAGTAATTCGTACAAACACTGAAACAAATCAATGTCTTGATGAGCTGCAGGAGGTGTGGCTGAGTGTGAAAAGCTCACCACAATGTTTTTGGTGTCTTTGTGTTTTTAGTTCTGGCTCAGCCTCCCTGACTCAGTCAATTCGGCTCCTGCATGAAATGCTGTTTGTTTACGTGATGCTAATAAGCCCCTAATAGGATTTCCTCCTAATCTCTGTCTGTCCTGTTGCTCTCCCTGCAGGGGGTGAACTCCAGAAACTCACGAAGACCTCCTCCCAGTTCGGTGAACACGGGCGGGGTGACTGAGATCATGGCGGAGGGCGGCGAGCTGGAGTTCGTCAAGAGGATCATTCATGACAGCCTGCAGCTGAAGAAGAGGCTGCGGTGAGGACAAAAAGTCTTTTATTTTTTTTATATCTACATATCAGAGCTACACATGGTAGTGGCATGATGGATGTTGAAGTGTGCTGCAGTTTGAATGGCTTTGAAGAGGCTCAGATTGGCTGAAGAGAGAGTTGGACACTCATGAAACTCATTTTCATTTTTTGACATATCAAGATCACGAATGTGCCAGAACGTATTGATAAAACCCATTTAAAAATCTGTCAAAATATTCGATACGTACTCCTTAAAATTAAATATTATTGAACATCTTTTAACACTGAATTGTCCCTCCAGGATCTTGTGATAGTTTTTCTGATTTTTACAATCAAAATCATAGATTTTGTGGTGCTAATTTTTACACCATACACCATCTGTGTGTACTGCCTTACACACAGATGTATGGCAGTAAATGTGACTTTTTGTTACACGTCACACCGATCACAGACTATAACTTGACATCAAGTAAGGCTGAGGCAGCAGTGTAGTAAGAAACCCTGCCACATGCAGCATCACTTAAACCCAATGCTTTTGACAATCTTTGTGTAAAATTTACAATAAACCCACAATTATGCATTAGCAGGAAAAACATAAGGATCTCTTGATTTTTTTTTTATTTTTTATTTTTTTTTGGCATGAATTTCCGCACTTGTTGAATCACAAAACACTGGAGAGCCTGGTTGATGTAATTTGGCGTTTGGAGTCACCTAAGCAGCTAAGGCGGGCCAGATTTGGCCCCCGAGCCTCGAGTTTGACACGTGAAACGGGCAGATGGATCATTGATGTAGTTGTCACCCTCAGTTACTGTAATGATTTAGGCACACACACACTCACACACTCCCCACGCTGTATCTGGGAGCCCCTGTGTTTGGGTGGCGGCCGTCACGTCCCCCTCCCCCAGGGCCTGTCACCCACGCAGCCAAGCGAGACCCCAGCAGAGTGGAGCTATTAGACCTGATTAGACAGGCCACACCTGCTCTGTGTGTGTGTGTTCGTACATGATGCTTCAGTGGAGTGGGACTGATGTTAACACCTGCCTGCTCTTATGCGGCTCCGTGTTGCAAAATCATGAATACAGGAGAGGCAGTCGGAGCGAATCCAGATTTGTTTAGCAGCTCTGAGGTTCTAGACAAACCAAGCGGAGCCGGCTGTCACTCCCAACTGCATGCTGGGATCCCACAGCTACCAGGTGTCCATGGAAACGGTGCCAGCCTTTAGAAATGGTCCAGTGAGACACCCTGCCACCCCACTAAAGGGTAATTACTGTCAGACAGAAGCTCCACGCTGCAGCTAGAGCTGAAGTGATGCTCCTGATTCATCTCTATTGATATGAAAATTATTTCTGAGTTCTTCCTCTGCCTTCTCTTTTCAAAGGGGCGGGGGGAAACCGAAAGTGCAGCTGCTCTCTTTCATGACTGAAGGAGCTGCTAGTGGAGGAAGGCTTTCAGGGGATTTCCTTCCCCGCTGTGATTAGAAGTGGCGAACATCTGCTAATATTACAGCTGATCAATATTTCATTACGTCAGCTAAAGGTTTGACATGAGGCTCTCCCTGCATCATCACTTTCCCAGCATGCATGGACCTCCGCAACATACATGTTTGTGTCATCTGTCCACACACAAGCGGTTGCTCCAGACTTTCTGCAGAAAGCAGGAAGGCCAAAGAAAATGTTTTTAGTCTTAAACAAAGACTGCTGTTTTTGTAGTGGCAAGCGTGCAAATCTTTGACATTAGATCCCAAATCCAGTTTAAAATGTCAGCTTTTGAATTATTTCTGCAAAATGTAATATTCCAGGATAACTTTTCTTCACATGGACTAAGAAAATACAAACAGTCCTTAAACACTAAGCCTCCAGGTCTCTGCTAGAAAGTTGAGGATGAAAATCAGTTTATCAGCGAGTCCAAACATAACGTCCAAATCAAATGTATCTTTTAAATTCTCATCAGGAGATAAATTTTGCGATTGCAGTTCTGCAACTAGAGTCCAGAACTCAACCTGACTGAAAATCTGTGGGGTCAGGTAAATATCGACAAGTCAAGATGTGAGAAATTGACCCAAAAGTCAGTAAAGCATTAGTCCAACGGTGTGAACACATCATGGTTGCATCTTTATGTTTTGAATATATAAACCACATTATTAGTGGGGGGAAAAAAAGCTCTGGAATGATTTATGATGAAAAACTGGATTTTAGCATGTGTATGTATGCTCATGAGATCCTCTATAGATGGGCTCCAACATCTGCAGATGAGCTCTAATGCTGCTCCATCCATCACAGAAGATGAGATTTAAACCCAGCTTCAGCCCGGAGGACGCAGCTTCGCCAGCCAAGTTTCCAGACCGGCACTCTCTAATGTCTTCATCTTTCCTCCGCGTGCCCCAGTTGGACTCTGCTACACATTGATCAACACCAGACTCGCGTCTTTATTGCGCAGCAGCGATTATTGATCAGGCCTCCGCCTCGGGAACACTTCAAAACCGTTTCTCTGTGCGCTGCAGGACCACGGGCGCCCGGATGTTTTCCTGCTTCTCATGTTTTCATTTTGCCTTTGTGTTGCTCCCTGAAGCCTACGCCTGGTTGTTTTGATCTCTGCTTTGTAGTTCAGGTCTGGACAGTGGGCTGCTGACACACACGCTCATACGGGGTGCAGACAAACAGCTGGTTGATGTTGAGTTTTCTTCCTGCAGGTGGTATAGTTGCATGTTGGGGAAGAAATGCAGCCTGGCACCTTTGAAAGAGGAGCTGAGGAAGCAAGGGGTGAGTATCCGCTGAGGAGCAGCACCAAGCTCTGGCCTCTGATCTCAGTTCGTCCACGCAGAAACAGCAGGTTCAGATCCCAATTAAATCTCAGTGGATGTTAGGAGGTTGATCAGCCATTTCTAACAAGCCGCTAAAGCATAAATGAGCCCGCATGAAAGAAAAAGGAAGACACACCAGCCTCTTCCGAATCCTCCTCCAGAGGTCTGAGTCCGAGTGATTGCAGGGCTGGCAAACATCCAGGGAGGAGACCGATGCTTTGCCTTAAAACATCTTTCAGTAGAAACCTTTCTGGTTAATATACCAAAGCTTTTATCACCAATTACCCAATTTAAACCTTGTTGTGTGTTTTTGCTTTGAAGTTAGAAAACTACATGTATTCATGTTTATGGGCACGGCTGATAAAGACGTGTAAGAATAAAAAAAATTGTTGCATAAGCTCACTTACCTTTCCCATGATTACTTGCACTGATAAATACTACTTTAAAACAAATCTATATTTGTTTTAAATCTATGTGTTTTGGATTTTTTGAACAGTAGTTCAAAAATATTTATGCTCTGGGTCTTCGGCTGGATGACGACCATTTATCTTTTAGCTACAGAGAATACAGTTGGTTAAGAAAAGGCTCGGAGGTTAAAAATCTCTGTTTGCAAAATATGGTTTAGCATAGCAACCATTAAACACTAACCTTATAGGAAAACAACATTTCAGGTTTTATCTGTCTGACTCAGTGTGTGTGATATTGTAATCATGAATCCTGATTCTTGGACGCATCATTTGTGTTTCATGACTCAAACAGATAGAAAATGAAGCAGAACTTAGTGACAGCGTTAGCCTTACGCTCTCATCTCATGATGATGGAAAAGAGAGAGAAGACTGAGCAGAATGCTGGTTATCCGCTTAATGTCTGGAGCTTCAGGCAGATCGTTTCCTTCAGCAGTTTATTGCGTTGGCCGTCTCTGACTCTCTCCGTTTGGTGCTCAGGTGCCCAAAGTGACCCACACAGAGTTCTGCCAGGGACGGACCATGCGCTGGGCGCTGGCCTGGAGTTTCTACGACGATGTGACTGTCCCGGTAAGTTCCTGTTTCTATCCGGTTTATTTTTACCGCACTATCGTCTCCAAGAAAAGGAGACAGGAAAAAATTGAAGATTTGTTTTAATTTGTAAGAGTAAAATTTACCAAAAAAAAAAAAAAAACGTAGTTGACACGTTTTTACCATTTTCTTTTGCCACATCAAAACCTGACCAACCTTGTTTTTTTTTTAGTCTTCTGACTCGATCAAACAGGGATATTTCAGTGCTTTTTGGGCCTAAAGATACTTTTACATCTGAGATTTAAACCCAAGGTTCTTGAACTGGGTTTGGTTCAGAAACCAAATCAGGCATTTTGTGAAACAAAGATATAACAGTACAAACTGGGATTTTACAGATTTGTATTATTATTTATGAAATGCAGTCTAGTTTTCATGGACTGTAACTGATCTAGATTTGTACAGATGGCATAAAGTGTGAAACGGGGTGCAAAAACAGAAAATACCTAATTAGGTGAATATTTTGTGCTCAAATATTTATAATCTAAAAACTGATGGAATAATTTTGAAATGTGAGTCTGGATGGTTTTTAATGGTAAATCTATAAGAACTTTGACACTAGTTGGCAGACAATACATGAACTACTTGACAGGCATCTTTTCCTCCTTTTTAATTAAGTTTTTGCATATAAATTATACTGTATTTTTTTTTATTTCTGCTGTTCATCAAAATAAATGAATAGATTTTTAGTGATTTCTTTATATTAGACTGATTTAGTTGGTATTTTTCTTGGATTCAACAAAAAATAATGATCTGGCCCTCATTTAACAAAGAGCCTAATTGCTTCTTTGCCATTATCTGGTATTGGTCGCCACACGATGACTTCACCTTTATAATTCAGGATCCCTTGATTGATTTATGGAGGAGTTTCAAACAACTTTGCAAAAACATGTTCCTCTGACGGTGAGATGAGCAGCAGCCGACATCACACTGAAATCTTCTACTAATCCTTCAGAAATCCAAGAGATCCACTGATTAAGACGAGGTTAAAAGATGGCAGGAAACTCTGCTTCGTTTGGGAGGAAAATTAGAAAACGCAATAAATGAACTACTGCTTTTGTTTAATGGTGTACATAAAGAACAGGACAGTGAGGGAAGCATGTGATGTTACTTCAAAGGATCCCACGCAGCTCTCTGAGCCTGTAGCAGAATAAATAAAAGGGGAGCTCTGGGTCAAGCCTGTCAGCTTCATCACAAGAAAACTTTTAATCCTACCCTTAAAAGCAGAGAGCTGCCCCCTGAGCCCAAACTATAGACTGAACTGGTTTTACAACAAAGCTGCCTGGTAACTTAAAGCCCTGACTCCTATTTCGTGCTTTCAGACTCTTTTCTCTACAAATAATGCCTCAGTCTGAGAATTATTATTTTAAATTGATAAATCATGCACACCTTTGTGCAGGTAATCCTGGAAGTCTTTGTAAATCCATGGACTCGTGTTTCTGAATCACCCTGCGGCGGGATGTTTAGGTTCAGGGGCAAAACGATGGACCGGTGGAAAGACAAAATGACATCCAGGATTCATGCTGTTGCAACCAAACTGGGTTAAAGGAATAGTTGGGAGGGGTGAGCCAGATTCAAAGTTGTAGTTATATCCATTTCATTGTATTTTCAGCTGGTTGTTGTGTGACCAGCTGCTAATTGCCATCAAGCTTCTTGTCTGTAGATGTGTAATCCATCGGCGAGTTAATAAAATTAGGCCTATAAATTACCGACTCTGATCAGGACATGTTCTCTGATTCCTCCGTTCTTACTGATGCTCCATCCTCAGCCCTCTCTCTCTCTCTCTTCAATCTGGATCTTGTCCTCCTCACCAAGCCCTGATCCATTATGTGCACTTAACTCCTGTCCTCTGGGGAGATGTTTATGGGATTTCTTGCATGCAGTAGCCAGGCAACAGTTGCCAGGGCAGGGCTCTGCGCACACCGACTTGTCTGGCCCGGGAGAAAGTTGGAAATGATTGTGACAGAAAGAGGGGATGAAAAACGCAGCCACAGCTCCGTTACCCTGCCTAACCCTGAATTAAACGTGGCTAAACAGAATAGATTGTGACACTTTGCCGCAGCTCTCTCCGTTTGGGCCTTTCTGGCACAAAAGCAGCAGAGCAGAATGATTGGCCTACTTCTCCTGCTCGGCATCATTCACGCTCGGGAGCGGCCTGCCATCGGTTTCACGCAGACCCCCTCGAAGCATGTGTGTGTTTACCGGTAGTGGTCACATGGCAGAGTGTATCCATGTGCGGTTCTCTGCTCGGATCCCGTGTTCCTGTAGTGGCCGTGGAAATGTTCGTTCATGACTGTAACGTTCAACGTGTGAGGGATGTGACAGAGATTCAGCTGTGACCTACTTACCTTCAAGCTGCTATACATCATCACCACTAACACTAAAGTCATGAAAATATCTGGAGTTACAGAGTTAGCTTGAACATGGAAGCATCAAAATGTGGGATCGTCTCCATCAGTTTAGATGTAGTTGAAAAGTTAATTCACTTAGTTAATTAAACTGACGTTAAAGTAACGCAAACCTTTCCGATCCTACGATTACCAAATTAATCCCCAATTGCAAAAACGCCAGAATAATAAGAGAATATTTTTAGGGTATATTTTTATTACTTTCTTCAAACCTGTATCACGTATTTACAATTACAATCCAGTTAAGCAATTTAGGGAAATACAAATGGTTACCTCATGGTTCTGTGAGCTTCTGAGAGGATCATATGCAGCATTCGTTTGCGATGTTGGGCCTCATCTTCCTTTTTACGATCCTCCATAGATTCTTTGTGTTTGGTGGCTTTTGAAGCACCGACTCTAATCACAGTCCAAGCTCTGTGAATCTTCTCAAACTCTTAAAGAGCTTGCTTCAACTCCAACCTCTAGTTATCCTTTACACATTTTCCTTCCACTGAACTTTCCATAAATATAGACAGATTTTTTTGTGACTTTCCTACATTGTAGGTCATAACGTCACTACTACAAAACTTTTCTGAATTATTTTATCTATTTTCATTTGAACCTTTGAATACTTTGTAAAGCAGAGAATTTTAATTTGAGGTTTTCGTTTGGTAGGAGCAATAACCATCACGATTACCAGACGCCCTCAGGCTCTGTGTTGCACATGCAGGCCTCTGGTCAGAGGACAGATCANAAAANTGCAGAGTTCACACAAAGGTTTGGGTCAAATATAATTTAAATTGTTTGCCCTGAAGGTGGATGGTGCTGCTGCTGCATTTTGTCTCCACTGGGACTATGTTTGGTTTCCTGTGTATAAACATAGCCAGAGAGCTCAGATGGGGGGTGACTAGCCGAAGATTATGTTGGAAAAGAACCACCTATACATACTTTTTGGTTCTAAAAGTGGCATTTTTAAACCAACAAAAAAAATGCGTCACGTTTTCCATCATTGGTTGTCCTCAACTTGCTCTGTGTGAGTGAGTGCGATGCGGCATGCAGTGAGGTCAGGGTTGTGCGATGAATAATGGAGTGGAGGAGCAATCATAAAAGGGACACAGAGCACATGTGAGTGTTCAGTGTGCATGTTTCATTTTAAAATCTGTTTGTTTGCATTAGTTAAAGAATCTCTGTCAAGGATGTGGGCTACAGGTTCAGCCTGATGAATTTTATTGATTTCCCTCCTCTGTGCAACGAGGTGCAGATCTTTAGAAAGCTTGAAGGGAAGAGGGAGAGACGTCTGGAGCAAACGATAAGAAAATGTTTTAAAAAGTCACACTTCAACCCATTTTATTAAAGAAGTCCAACCATCAAAAATATGAATCACATTTTTTTTAAAAAGAGCCCTTAAAAGGGGAAATATGTTTCTTTATATATTTGTTTACATAAACCAAAACACAGACATTTCCAAATATTTATTCACACAAATAAAAAACAATCTTTTGCAGACTGCTATTCTAAATGAGAGAGGAGATAATTAGCAGCAGCATAAAGTAAAGCAGCATGTGGGATTCGTCTCCGGATCAGTGCAGCAGTGTGAAGGTCGCGGTCCGCTCCTCCACTCGGCTGTTTCTAGGTCAGTCGGCCATGCTGTCGGCTCCGTCTCCGCTGCCGCAGACCCCCGCTGCCCTCCGCCGCCTCCACCTCTCTGGGCCCGACCGCAGTGACTCATGGGTGCCGCATTCGTGTCGTTGCTGCGCGTCTCTGCCCAGTTATGCCTGGATAATGACCTCCACCGCCCATCACAGCCCAACGATAGAGGAGATTAGACAAAAGACGCCGTTTGATGCACTGCAGGTTCAGGTGGAAGCTCGCGCCGCTGCAGCGCCCTCTTGTGTATCACATTGATAGGGACGTAGTAGGAATTACTTGATCAGTTTCTCATTAATATAATAGCTTGTTTTTTTCATTTTAAAAAAATAATTAAAAAACATACATCTAAATGAAGTATTCTAGCAGATGCCCTGTCAAATAAAAATTCAAATCCAATTTATTTATAAAGCACATTTAGAAACGGCAATTTTGCCAAATTTCTGTACTTGCTAATAAAATAAATAAAATAAAAGGTACATATATTACTCTTCTATTCTATTAAACTGCGTCTTAAAGACTACATGTGAACTCAGATTGCTATTTTAGTCAGAAAGTGTAACCCATCATTTGAGCACACACTGCCCTCTGCTGGCAACCTCTACTCACAATTATACTTTTTCCCCCCTACATGGTACTATTATACATTCAGATGGAAATAATAGAAAACTTTCTTTTCATATTTTTAATATCCAGTTTAGAAATATGTTGAGATTATTTTGCATGATAAATTACCGTGGTGATCTAACTGAACCCCGTTGTAACAGCAAAATCATTCGTCTCCCTGCTGGATTTCAGTCTAATCTGTACAGATAAGCAACATTTCAGCTGTCCAGATTTTCTTTCAGTGCAGATTACTGTTGGATCATCTGCTTTGTTTTGTTGTCCTCCAGTCTCCTCCCAGTAAGAAGCGTAAACTGGAGAAGGCTCAGAAGCCGCTGTCATTCACGCTACCAGAGGCAGGTGTGAAGGAGCTCCAGGCCAAGGCCTCAGCTGCAGGCTGCAGCAGCAGCAGCTGTAGTTCTGTGGACAGCATCACTGCTCTGCTGGAGAAAACTCTCACTGAGCTGCGGGTAAGCTTCACGATTATGGATCCACTGCCAAGTCTATCATTATTGATTAGTGTCTGAAGTTGGTCTTTACCGATTCATTCACTATATGCACTTTATATAAAAGAATTAGATATCCACATGTACTCAATTAGATATAAACTTAAAGATGTGATCTACAACTCTCTGTACACACTGTGTTTATTTTAATATTTCAGGATTCCAGTGGTGGAGAAAGTACTCAAAAA